GTGCAATTCAGCACAATGGGAAGCAGATGAACTTGGAGTCAGGCCTGGTTACAAACTCAGCTCTATTTTTTAGCAGCTGTGTCAGGTTGGGCAAATCTTTGATGCCTGGTTCTTCAATTTGGGTTAATGACCTTACATTATGGAGGTGCCGTGCGATTAAATTTGACAGCACATGAAAAAGGCTTTGAAAGCCTTGGGACAGCAAATACATGGTATTCATGTTGAGGGTGGCGGTCAGTTATTTAGGAGCAATTTCTTCATTCTTTAGCCTTGGATTATATCGACTGATTTGATGGCCCCAACTTAACAAGCTCCTCCAGCTCATCCTTGGGGAAAACAATTCATTCCTTCATTTATGTCTAATTTTAAGCTCCTGTTATGGTCAGTGATATATCAGGTGCACATTTTCTTCATAGGGATATGAACAGCCTCATTATAAAGTCATTGAAGTTCCCACATCAACTGACTCATTGTGGGATACTCACCCTACGACACAGGCAGCCCTGTCTAGTATATATGCATGGGGAGGGAGGATTTTACAATTTACTAAAATATGAGTCCTGGCACCAACTTGGAATATTCTAACAGATGTTGGTATTCATGTTAGATTGAAATCAATATCCTAATGGTACCCTATGGCAAAGATATTGATGTATCTCCTTAGAAAATTATCATTCATCCCCACCCAATTTTTCCTCCTGGAAATCAGGCCAGTTCTTTAGAATCACTGCCCCATAGCAAGCACAGAGCAAGACAGAGAGGCCAATATTTTCCGTTGGTTTTGCAGGAAGAAAGAATGGTATGACAATCATTTTATATCTTTTCTAGAATAACACTGGAGTTCTTTGAAAAGCCCAGTACTTTCACCTGGAATAGAAGTTCTAGCCCTTCACTCTCTGTTAACCATCATTTATGACTTTTTCCCTTCCTGCATATTAACAAGAGCCCAACCCCAAAGCCTTCTGTTCCAGTGTGAGAAAGCTGCTTGCAGATACAGGTTTTTAGCTTCATCAAGTGAAGCTTGCAGTCTGAGATAAATCTTCCATCTCTTCCCCTGAACTTTCAGGCATTGTGAGTAAAGCTTAACTTTGGACAGACCACCACCCCCTTCCCTTCATGAGCCGTGAAGCTTGTGACGGATGTGTTACCTTGATGCAATCTTAGACCTGTGCTCAGCGGCTGTGCTACATGGTTATCTCTGCAGAAGAATGGCAATAAAGTGAAGCAGTTCAATTTTTCAGGTCCGTTCTGAAAAACTAAGAAGGCCGGGTGTGGTGGCTCATGCCTATAATCCCAGTACTTTGGGAGGCTGAAGTGGGTGGACCATGGGGGGCCAGATTGAGACCATCCTGGCCAACATGGTGAAACCCTGTCTCTACTAAAAATACAAAAACTTAACTGGGCATGGTAGCATGCAACTGTAGTCCCAGCTACTCGGAAGACTGAGGCAGGAGAATCGCTTGAACCTAGGAGGCGGAGGCTGCAGTGAGCCAAGACTGTGCCACTGCACTCCAGCCTGGCGACAGGGCGAGACTCTGTCTCAAACAAACAAAAAAACTGAGAAGAAGATATATCTTTACTGCAAGCAGAAATCTCTGAGGAGCAAGTGGCCACAGCCTGCCTCCCACAAGCTGCCTGGCTCACTCTATTTCATTCCTGGAAATTAGGTGAGTTCTTTAGAATGACTGTCCAATAGAAGGAACAGAGTAAGCCAGGGAGATCAACAGCTACTGCTCATTGCAGCAGACCAAGGGTGGCTTGCTGACAATGTCCACGACGTGTAGTTAGACAGAATCCAGTAGCAAACAGGGAGCCTGGCCTTCTCCATGCCTAAGTCAGCAGACAGGAGGGTCCAGGTCTACAGCACACACACGATGTACCCCAGATGAGTGATTAATTTACCAACTGTCAGAGGAAATGACTGTGTTTTAGTACTGTCATTCTGCCAAAATATCTAACTGCTGTGCATCCTGCAGAAGGCATGTGGAACACTTATTCTTGCCTGTTTGTATAAGAGCCAGGCAAACAGAATGGAAAATTAGTTGTAGCTCCCAACACAGCAGATACTTGTCACACACTCACACGTGGTGACTGTTCCTCTATCTGGAATGTTCTCTTCTTCACCTGTTCTCTTGTGAACGCCATATCCTCTAAGTCCTGACTTGGAGAGCTTCCTTTGTGAAGCACTGAACCTCTGTAGCATCCTTGGGCCTGGGCATGCCTCCATGACTGCATTTATTAGACGGTATTACAATGGCATTTTACATATGTTTCCTGTGAGACAGTGGGTTCTGGGGCAGATGTGGGCCTTACTCCTTTTCTTGGAGCCTGGCATGTAATAGGTGCTTGCTGAGCCGTGTGTGCAGAACAAGTCAAGAATGACTTCTTATCTGGTAATTATGCTATTTTAGATAGACTAGAGAGGCCTGTCATTCTTCCCCTCTATTATTTTTATGGTAATTCCAAACTGGCTTCCTGATGGACAGACACTAGGTCCACAGTGACCTGTTTCATTTTTTTACTGTGCCGTGGGAAGTCAGCGCCGGGTCCACACAACCCCAGTGAGTGGGAAGCAGTGGAAATCGATATCCTTTCCTCAGGTCACCCACTGTGGCTCTGTTTCTAAGTTAAATGCAAGCACAGCAGAGGGACTCAGAGACATTTGCTACAAGGAAAGAAGATCACGAGCCCACGGGAGTTTGGAGTGGTTACACTTCATTAGGCTCCCCATAAAAAGCTCCCCTATATAAGCCAGGAACTCTCCACTTACAGACAGCTGGACCTCAAGAAATCCTTTGGCAAACACAAAAGACTCTTTGGTGAAAGCTAGAGGCAGGTTGGTCCTGCCCAGGGACCCCAGAGGCAGCCCCAGAGACTTCTAAATGAACTGAGCCAACAATCAGAAAACTGCCAGACACAGGTCAATAGGTGGGGTGACAGCCCAGGGCCCACAAGGCCAGTAAGCTCACCCCCAGCATGCTCTGTGGATGGTGATCACAGGCAATACAGACACCAAGGGCACTGTTAAAGAGAGAGAAACAATTTGAGGGTCCCAAGGGTGTGGAGAGGAATGACAGATGAGCCTTCCCTCCATGCCTATAATCTGTTTCTAGCTTCAGTTGGCTTAACATGTCCAGCTGGTGCCCAGCGGCTCAGTAGCCTGTTGGAGGCTGGGGAATGGTGGTGGTGGGAGTGGGGGTGGGGAGAGAATGCCACCAGGCCAAAGGGTCACCTCCTAGTGCAGTACAGAGAATGAGTGCTGGTTTCTCCTTATAGGACTGAATTTCACTTGCACCAAGCCACCCAAGTCCCCAGAATGAAAGCCCTGCTCCATCCAAAGTCCCAGAAGGCCATAGTGGAGACCGTCATGAGCTCTGAGTCACACCTGACCGAGTGAGCATTCTCAGGCCCTGCTGAGCAAGGGAGGGGCTGCGCCACAGGAGGCCCTGGCTGAGGGCTTTAAGGTGGAGGGTGTGCCAGCCGCGGGCCTCTGAAACAAGCACCTGGGGACTCCTACCTCTTCACTACAGCACCTCACGCACTCGCCTTCATGTTTCTACTCTCGTCGTCATTCTGGGCTCAGTGGTGACCATTTATAAGAACACAGAGAGCTTTCCTGCTTGCTTAGTGAGATTTGCCAGTGAATTCACGTTTCCATACCATGAAGCTGCCCACAGCCTTTGACCGTAGGCTGGGCTATCCAGATGGAGACCTGGCCGTCCTAGGGAATTCTGTTACAGACTTCATGAAGATTCTAAATACAGCTTTGAAAATCCAAAGGATTTGTTCCTCAGAAGCCAAAGAACGAGTGCAGCCAGCTCACACCACCTGAGTGTCTGAGGGTCCACTAGGCCAGACGGAGAGCCAGGCAGTTCTCCAGATTTTCAGGAAACCGCTAATGCCTTCCATGCAAGCCAGCTCTTTGTGAGTGTGAGCCAAAGTCCCTTCCAGTGGCTTTTCCTTGGCTCAATGATCAGTAAAGAGGAAAAGGGGTGTCCTTCGTTTTGGGGTACCTTCAGAATCTAAGTGACTTAAATGTCTGTTTTGGTCAATAGATGATTTTGCTCATAGGAAAAAAAATGTCTCTCTGCAACACTGTAGATGTTCACGTGAACAACTCGGAAAGCACACGCTAGGAAGGGAGTACTCCTAGCCGCTGGGGAAAAGGCGGCGTGGTCACTACGGTTGATGATATTTAAGAGGGTAGCCTAGAGCCTGTGTGGTTTGCACACCTCATGCTAAGTTCCGACCACAGCACGCCATAGGTACAGAACACTGGGGGCTTTCTTCTGCTGGGTCAGCACAGCCCACTGCCAAGGCCATGCCATGGAACATGAATGGAACATCATGAGGGATGTTAACAACTGAGTCGGCATCTTGAGAGGAGTGACCTGTTCTATAGGCAACATTCACATGGCCCTGGTTTTCAGCCCACATGACCCAGAAGGCAGCAATGCCAGAAACTCTCATTCCCATTGCCAATGTTTTCTGAACCTCCGCCCTGTGGGATGGGTCCTCTTCAACTCTGGGCTCAGATGTGTCACCTGCTATGGGTTTTGCTGCCCTGATTTTCAAGCTACCTATGAAGAAACCATCCCTTTGGCTGAATGTCCTTTACATGCCCCTATAGAGAGCAATGCTTCCACGATCCTCTCAACACGGACTGCAGGCACTTTCCCTGTGCAAAATGCATTCAGACACACGCAACTGCAGACAGCTGCTGGGGGTTCCCAGAGCCGGCGAGTCCATCCCAGGAGTTGGTACATAATCAACCCTTCCCCATCCCCAAAGAGAGACCTCTCATGGCATTAGCCAAATGGTTATAGTACAGAAGTTCAGGTATCACAGCTCTCCTGGCCTCTCCAGATTATGTCTCCAAAGGGTAGAATGAGTTAAATTTTCTGAGCCCTCGTGGTAGATGTCAGGGTGGGGTGGAATACAAAATTTGAATGGGCTGGCTCAAAGCTGAAAGCAATAATGAAAACAAATGGAGAACTCACCACCATTTCCTGGACATGAAACATCTCTGCACCATCAGACGACAGTCGATTAGGGAAAGAGATGCTGACAGATGACCCTGGAAGGGTGCTCGGGCCAGTGTTGTAGATCTGTGGGTGTGGAACACATACAGCAAGTCTCAGAGGAAAATAGCAGACCTCCATTTCCTGTCATGCAATATATATTCTAAGATTCTTGGAAATCATATATAGAAAATCTAAGGCTTGGATCTAGAAGGTCATGACTGGAAGTGAACTACTGAACGATGGGAAATTTCAACAAAACAGAAACACTGCTAACATGCATTTAAAAATCCCTCACTTTGAAATTACCGTATTCCCTTTCAGCATTTTTTGGTCTTCCTACTAAGAATTCTTTTTCTTTTTACATGCATAGGAATTTAGTCATAGACTGTTACACTTGGTGAAAACTCAGACATCATAATTTAGTCCAGTGGTTCTCAAACTTCAGCATAACATCAGAACCACTGGAGGGGCTTATTAAAACACACACTGGTGGGGGTCATGGAGTGGGGGTCATGCCCAGAGTTTCAGACCAGGCAGGTCTAGGATGGGGCTGGCAGTCACATTTCTAACACGGCCCCAGGAGGTGCTGATGCTGCTGGCCCAAGAACCTCCCCTTGAGACCCACTGATCTGGTCCAACCCCTTTCCTTTGCCAGTATGAGGCAGCTGAGGCCCTCAAGGACCGAGTGGGTCATCCCAAAACCAGGTGATCTAATATACAGGAAGGGCTGTGTTTACTGCAGCAGCCAGCCCATGTGCTTTCCAGGCCACCTGCGGCTCACCATGTGCACAACTGCACCCGTCTTCTGTCCCAGCATTTGGTTCTATAAAACTTTGCCCCTCTTGTTTTCCCTAGCATTTCTCCATTTTCTGTCTCCAGAAGTCAATCATTTCCTGAGAAATGAGGAAAAAGATGGAGGGCACGGAGACCAATAAGAGCAAGGAGGGAGAGAAAAAGCTGAACATGAAGCTCAAGGGAGAAACGGAATCTACAGAGGAATAAAAAAGGTGAGCAGATCTCCAGAGACACAAAGTAGATTCGCGGTTGCCTAGGGCTGGGGAGCAGGAAGAATAGGGAGTAAGCGTGACAGGCCCCCAAAGACGTCCAGGTCCTCATTTGTGGAACCTGTGAATGTTATGTGGCCGGGGGAATTTCGGTTGCTAATCAGGTGATCTTAAAATAAAGAGGTTATCTTAGATTATCCAGGTGAGCACATTGTACTCACAAGGGTCCTTCTAGAGGGAAACGGCAGAAGTTAGATCAGAAAGAGAACATCCTAAGACTCAGCCATCCATTGCTCGCTTTGGACAGGGAAGGGGGCCATGAGCCAAAGAATCCAAGTGGCCCTCAGAGGCTGAAAAAAGGCAACAAGTGGATTGTCACCGGTGCCAGGAACGGAGGCCTGACACTTTGGTTTTAGCCCAGTGAGGCCCATTTTGGACTTCTGTTCTCAGAACTGTAAGATAATACATTTGTGTTGTTTTAAGCCACAAATGTTGTAGTTATTTGTTACAGCAGCAAGAGGGAATTAATACAAGAAGTTATGTCAATGGGTTCGGAATTTTTCATTTTTCAGTTCAGAGGTCTCTTATTATTATTATTTTTTTGCACCTATTTATGCCATGAATTCATAGGGAATAGGTTCCAGCAGTTCAGGCTCCTCTCCACTGGTTCTCACAAAGTGTGCCTCTCTGGGGGATCAGGCTGGTACTTCAGTTGAACCCAGGTACCTTTCTCTTTGGCTTCCTTCTTCTTCTTCTTCTTTTTTTTTTTTTTTGAGACAGAGTCTCACTCTGTCACCCAGGCTAGAGTGCAGTGGTGCAGTCTTGGCTCACTGCAACCTCCACCTTCTGGGTTCAAGCGATTCTCCCTGGCTCAGCCTCCGGAGTAGGTGGCATTACAGGTGCCTGCCACCACGCCTGCCAAATTTTTAGATTTTAGTAGAGATGCGGTTTTACCATGTTGGCCAGGTTGGTCTCGAACTCATGACTTCAGGTGATCCACCTGCCTCAGCCTCCCAAAGTGCTGGGATTACAGGTATGAGCCACCGCGCCTGGCCGGCTTCCTTCTTTTTCTGATCATTTTCCTTCATGCGCTTCAGGAAGCTATCTTGACTCTTTACAGTCCTTAATGTGCTCAATACACACATTAATTCTCTTGGCAAGAATCTTGTCCTTAACTTGTTTGTATACAACAATGCCAACAGCATGCTGGTAACACTGTAGAGTCTTCAAGTTTAGCCATGGTCACACTGGTGGGGCATTCCTTTTTGAGCCGTGCCCATTCCCTTGATGTCTACAATATCACCTTTTTTACAGATTCCCACATATGTGGCCAAAGGAACAATTCATGTTTTCTTCTTCTTCTTCTTCTTCTTTTTTTTTTTTTTTGAGACAGAGTTTCGCTCTTGTTGCCCAGGCTGGAGTGCAATGGCATGATCTCGGCTCACCGCAACCTCTGCCTCCTGGGTTCAAGTGATTCTCCTGCCTCAGCCTCCTGAATAGCTGGGACTACAGACGCCTGCCTCCACACCTGGCTAATTTTTGTGTTTTTTAAAGTAGAGATGGGGTTTCACTGTTGGCCAGGCTGGTCTTGAACTCCTGACCTCGTGATCCGCCCACCTTAGCCTCCCAAAGTGCTAGGATTAGAGGTGTGAGCCACCGCGCCTGGCCCAATTCCATGTTTTCTAAAAGGCATAGAGAACATACAGCAGAGGCCTCTCCTCTTTCCCTTTGTGTTTGACATTTTGGTGAATTACTAGAAGATGGTGGTTCTGGCCAAAAGGCTGGAATTTCTTTTGGGGGTGGTCAGAATGTTCTAAAATTTTGCAACAACATGGATGGAACTGGAGTCATTACGTAAGTGAAATAAGCCTTGGGAGACTGAGTAGGCAGATTGCTTGAGGCCAGGAGTTCGAGACCAGCCTGGGCAATGTGGTGAAACCCCATATCTAAACCCCACCCCCAACCACCCAAAAAAAAATTAGCCAGGCATGGTGACATGCGCCTATCATCCCGGCTACTCAGGAGGCTGAAGTGGGAGGATTGCTTGAGCCCAGAAGGTTGAGGCTGCAATGAGCCGAGACTGCACCACTGCACTCCAGCCTGGGTGACAGTGAGACACTGTCTAAAAAA